GGGGGTGAGCATTGTGGGGGTGAGCAGAGCTGTCAGGGGAGCCCAGAACGGGAACGGGGTGGGGGTTTGGAGTGAGTAAGTGGGGCAGAGCTGTGTGGGGAGCAGGACTCGAGTAGCAGTGGGGCTGGGGGTCAGGCTGCAGTCCGGTAGGCCCACCCAGAGCCCTGACTCGCCCGTGCTGTGCGGCCCCTCACCAGGTGTTGCCCGTGGCGTCGCTCTCCCCAAAGGCGCTGTAAGAGCCATCGTTGTGTTTGTAGAGCAGCTCGCGCTGGTAGCCTGCGGGGACGGGAGAGAGACAGCGAGTCCTGGATCCGCTCACTCCCAGCGGCTAGAATCCACGCCCAGCCTGCGCCCCGTGGGGCCCACTAGCCCTCCCCTCCCCCATGACACTGAGACTCAGAGATTCCAGGGGTCGGTTTGAATAGGGGGATGGAGTTAAGGCTTAATAGGGTCCTGATCTGGGTCCGGATTGGAACCCGGGACCCAGAGGTGGCATGGACAGGGCCCTCACATGGCCCCGCCATGCCCTGGGGGCGCAGGGGTGGGAGAACACTCACCGCTCTGGAGGAAACCCTTGGCCTTGTCTCTGATCTCCGGGCTCAGCTGCCCGCTCTTCTCCAGGTACTGCTGGATGTAGATGTTGGGAGCGAACCGGACCATGTTCTGCTCTCCGCAGCCATAGGGCATGGCCAGCAAGCGGTCTATGTTCTGCAGAGCTGTGCCCATTATGTCTCCTGGCACCAAGGGAGTCAGGGAAGCAGAGAATTGCCAGGCTGCACAACATCTGCCCCGTCCCTAACACCACGTCAGTGGAGCCCTGGCACGCGGGGTCCACAGCCCCCAGTTCAATTCAGGCCTGGTGGGGTTACGTGGATACGTGGTGATGAATGGCCAAGACGCCAATGCCCTGGCACAGCTTCATGGCATCACTGCAGGAGTCTATTGCCCTCACTGGGGACGAGGCCCTGGAGCACATACTGCAGGGACCAGTCCTGCCCTGGCCCCAGACACCCACAAGACCTCATTGGTCTTTTACATCCGTGATGCCCCGGCCTCTCTGATCAGAGCACTGGGCCACAGAAGCGGATGGCTGGCGAAGGGCACCGTGCCCTGGCAGGAATGGGGCAGGGGAATTCCTTACCCAGGACAGTCACGTGAGCCCGCTCGGACCCCGCCAGGATGTTAGCAGGCAGCTGCAAGGAGATTTCTTCCGACGCTGTGTAACACGAAGGCAAAGACACACTGTTAACGGCCTGTTGGGAACCTGCATCTGCCTCCAGCCAATCAGATCCCTCCATTCTTCACTGTTCGTGGCTCTCGCCCAGTCACAGCCCCTCTCTCAACCCCAACCTCCCCCAACCATGGCACATACGTGCCCTTGAAGGCGAGGGCTGGGGGTTCTCAGCAGAGGGTCCTGCCTGTGGGACTCCGTCCCTCTCCTGGCCCCAGAGAGCCGGTGTGACGAGCTCTGCAGGGAGCATTGTACACACGAGGGCCAGGCTGCAGGGAAGAGGAGCTGGTACAAGAGGGGCTAGTGAGACTCGGGAGCAGGAGCCGAACGTGCTCGAGCCTTTGGCCCATGGCAGACGGTTCCATAACTGCCCACTAGGGGGTGCATCTTCCCCAAGCAGCTGGGCCTGTACCTGTCCCAGGCAGGTAATTGGCCTAGATGCCCCCTGGTCCGCTCGGGCCTCGCGGCTCCTGTGCCCCTAGGTGGGCCATCCAGTGGCTCAGCCATCACTGACGTGCCGCAGCCAAGAGACGCCCCGTGTTAGTGACACCCACTGAGCCCTGCACAGGCGCTGGGATCCTACCTTCCTGGCAGAGCAGGGAGCTGTGCGCCTTCTCCTCCAGGATCCCGCCCGGCTGTGGGGAAGGAGCATCAGACAGGAGGTCAGGAGAAGGGACCGTGCACGTCACAGCCTGACAGGGCCTGCTGGGTTAGCCAGTGCCCCTAGCCAGGGCAGGATCATCCCCTACAGCCCGTGCTGTGGGGCTCGGGCACATCCAGCTCTCAGTGCCCCAGCGATGGGGCTCCCGTCCCTTCCCCGGGGAGACTGTTCCCAGCCCAGCAGATCTCACGGCTTCTTCCTCTTCAGCGCGGAGCTTCCCTCTGCTAATTCCCTCCACCCCCTCGAGCTCTCCCATGTGTCACACTCAGCCACCCCCCTTGGGGCTTTCCCCCGTCTCTGTCTGCCCCAGGACTCTCCCGCCAGCTCCCTGATCTCGCTGGGATTGGGCCGCATGACGGGGCAGTGCAGGTCAGGGTCTGGGACGCAGACGGCACGGTGCTGGGGTATTATTTTCTGTGGCAGGACAAAGAACAATCACAAGTGCAGACTCGGCCCACGGCCCCCAGGGGGTGAGACCCAGGCCCCGGATCTCCCTCCGCTCTGCCCAGAGGCCCCGACCAGACACTGACCTGGACCAGCAGGGGCTTTATCACGGTGTCCACTCGCCCCTGGGCTGGCACTACAGCCAGCTCGTTGCCACACAGCTCCTCGGTGCGCAGAGCCTCGGTGCTGACGGTGAAGTTCACCTCCCCTGCCGAGCAAGGTGGGAGACACCCCGTTAGACAGACCAACGCCCCTGCCCGAGGCCGAGAGGAGTCCGTGTCTGAGGGTGGGAGGATACTTGAAGGGGAAGGGTGGTGAAGAAGGGAGAGTATAGTACAAAAAGAAACAAAATGAGGAGAGAGAGAATGGGCGAGAAAAGAGAGAGAAGGCCAGAGGGGAAGGAAAGGACGGAGGGAAGTGGTGACTGTGGGAAATGGCGATTAGGCCATAAGGGATTTCACTGCTGGGGCGTCCTCTCTTCCCCCTTCCCCACAGCTCTTCTCATCCCCTCCGCTTGGCACCAAGCCCTTGGCACCAAGCCATCCTGCGCCCTCCTTCTCACTCCCAGCACAGAGCCTCCAATGCCCCTTACCCATCTGTCCCCTCACGCAGAGCCTCCAAAGGCCCCTACCTGCCTCCCTAGTGTGAAGGCTCCAGCACCCCTTCTCTGCCCCCCCTCATTGTGCAGAGCCCCTCACCACTTCCCTACCCCTCCCCTCCGGCACAGAGCCTCCAGTGCCCCTTACCCAGGCTGCTCGCCGTCACCTCCCACTGGAAGGTTTTCCCTTCGTCTGCACAGAGGCAGCTGGTGTAGGCGCCGTCTTCGCCCGCCTGCACCTGGAACTGCGCAGACTCGGCCAGCGTCAGCTGCACCTGTGGGGCCCAACATGAGATCCCCCTTAGGGCTGTGGGGGACGCACCAGCTCCAGCCAAGACGTTACCCCTCTGGGGTTTAGGCCAGGCCCCACTCACCGCGATGTGCTGACCCCAGTGGTCATAGGGTCACAGACAGTGACTGCCGATGCCACTCGCAGGCCTGCGCCGCTGCCCAGCTCCCCAGCCCCAGGTCACTGGCCCCAGCAGCTCAGCCACGGGCGGCGCTCACCTTGATGCACTGCTGCAGGTAGTTGAAGACGGTGGCCTTTAGGGCAAAGGCCTCTCCCCGGATCACGGAATATGGCAAGGCCAGCTCCACAAAGAAGGGTTTGAAGGCCATGAAGGTGGCCGTGGGTGAGAGCCCAAAGCCCACCTCGGCTGTGCAGAACATCCCAGCTTTCCACTCCGTGATGGTGTCGGGCACTGAGACAGGGACATCCTTGGAGCCCCCCTCGCTGGGCCGGAATAGACACAAAGCAATTTTAGACAAACATGTATCTCAGGTTTTCTCTGTCTGTCATCCCACTTCAACCTCTGGATGGCAGCTGTATGTTACACAGTAGTATAGAATCCCAGGGAATGTCCCTTGTGGACAATGGT